AAATTACTGCACGTTAACCCATAAATAAATAATTAAAATACGTCACTGTCAAATCACAATACTACAGCCAACATCACCCTCCCAACAATAAGACCCCACTACTTCACCACCACCTATGGCTTGCCACCCATACTATTTCAATGAATTTCACAAAGTGAGGTAATGTCTTATCAGAAAGGACCCAAACGAACCCAAACTGCACAGGAGTCTGGTAATGTGCTGTACTTTTCAAATTTCTGTTCGAGGTGGACCTATTAGAAAAATAAAGTGATCAATCAAACGAAAACAATAGGAGATTAGAGCCACTAACTCAATAGTTGAATATGGATCTTCAATTGGATGGGATAGATATATAAATAGGGTATTTTTTTTTCAATTAATGGGGTTGCAATGGATGAGGGGTAGTGAATCGGGGCGGACTCGAGACAATTTAGGGCCTAAGTCCATAATCTTAAATAAGATTTTTTATTTTTACAATTAATAATTATTCATCTTGCTTATTGTATCCAAATGTCACTAACATATTCTATCTAATCAATAGCATGGTTAAACCACTTTCAATTAATATTGGGTCAAACGCAACTATCTATATAATAAAACATATAGGAGTTTGAAAGTTTATCCCTTATACATTTTTTTCCTTAAAAATATCATATCATCTAATTCTATCACATCTAATTTAATGGAAAGAAGAAATAGATTTTTGTGGGATGGAAATAGTCTCCGCACATTGAATTATCCCCTCAGTTGATGAAAGAAACTTGATTAAAAAATTAAAAATACAACTTTACATTTATGGAGATTGGCCAGAACTTGAAAAATACAACTACCAAAAGAAGGGAACTTAGGGACCGTTAGGCAAGAAGACTGCTCTTGGTGGCTTGGGCTCTACCGTCCTATGTCTCTGGTTCGATTAAAAATAAGTTATTTATGTGCAGGACTACGGTATTCATGAGAGATAATTTTCACACGGTCTAACCCTCAAGGGTTTGCGAAATTTTAAATTCAGAATGTTTGAGTTTACAACTCGTTTTTATTATTACTTAAACTATCCTCAATTGATGAAATCTTCTAATGGGTAGATTTAGATTCTATCCAGCGATTTTTTTTTTTTTTTTCAAATCTCTCTCAAATGTAAACCACCTATCTATCTATCTATCAATAATAAGAACACTCGGAGAGATTGATGGAAGTCCCAATTCTAAAATCTTTTTTATTTAATTTTATTCACACAATCAATACTCAACATTTGTCTAATGTAAGTAGGTCCGTCAAAAGATTGGATTCTGATTCGAATCCGATTAGTAAAATATGGATTAATATTTTTTATCATTAATTCGAACTCGAATCCGAATCCGATATATTATATTTAATGGATTATGATTTAAATATATTTATATTCGATCCGATCTAAATTATTTATATATTTTTATATAAATATTATAAAATTTAAGTGATTATTTAAAAAATTTTAGTTAAAATTTAGTAATAATTGTTTAACATTAGTTAGTTAAGTTATTCGAATTAAATTTGGTTTCGTATTGTTGATTGATTCGGATATGAATCATAAAAATAAATCCGTTGGATTATTGAATCAGATTCAGATGGAACTTTTGAAAATAGATTCGGGATTCAAATTAGTCAGAATTCGATCCAAACTCAATTCGTTGACACACCGGAATCTAACTGCTCTTCCACTCTCTAATTAATTAATTAGTACTCATTCAATTTTTATTCTAAAAATAGTTTTTATCTTCAATAGTTTCCCATAATTCTTTAAATTCTTTAGTTACCATAACTTCTCAAAATTTTAAAGCTACCCATAACTTCTCAAAAATTTTCCGTTTCCCAAAAGGGGGTGAAAAGAAGAGCCAAACGGTCTTTATAAATATCGTGCATTGTACAACCCGACACTAATTATGAATTTAAGTGAAACTAATCTATATTTATATTAATTATAAATGTTAATATGTGCAAAAAAAATTTGTTATCCTATTTTATTCCTAATTGTTATAATAAAGTCAATTATACCCACCAATATGTATATTTTCATCTAATTTTTTTTTTCACTCATATTTGACTTTTAATTTATTTTGGACTATTTTATAAGGACTTCTAAATTTTTTTGAATTCATTTATTAGTAGTACAATTATATATAATTTTCTATATCTATATAGAAGTAAATGAAAAACTTTTGATTTCCTATTTTGACCCTAATTATTATAATAAAATCAATTATACCCAATAATATATATACTTTCATCTTATTTCGTTCAACTTATTTTGAACTTTTTTATAAGAATTTTTAAATTCATTTATTAGTTATATAGTTACATACAATTTTATATAGCTATATGAAGAATTAAAATCGTATATATATATGTTAAATTATTATACAAATATAGTTCTCAGATTAAATTTCATGGTCAGATATATATTATATTATATTTTTTTATGCAATAATATAATAATATTATAATCAATTTAATTAATCTATTTTTAANTGAATTTTATGGTCAGATATATATTATATTATATTTTTTTTATGCAATAATATAATAATATTATAATCAATTTAATTAATCTATTTTTAAAAAATAAAAATTAATAATTTAATAATATAATTAGTGTCCAAATGCCTAAAAAGGTCGAAAAGATACTTAAATAAATGACAAATTACGTACTCAAAGTTTTATAGAATAAATTAATAATTAAATTTAGTAACAATTAAAATATAAATTAATTATTTGACTTTTAATTTATTATTTAATNCTTAAATAAATGACAAATTACGTACTCAAAGTTTTATAGAATAAATTAATAATTAAATTTAGTAACAGTTAAAATATAAATTAATTATTTGACTTTTAATTTATTATTTAATTTAATTACATATATAAATAATATTTTTTATAAAAAAATATTATTTAAATTTATTTACATATAACGCACACCTTGTATTACTAGTTAAATTTAAATGTCTCCACAAGTATACTGTAGCTGAACTATTATAGAATAAACTTGAAAAAAAAAGTGCAGCATAAGGGATCTCTTTAACGACTAATACTCAAACATTTATCATGCTCGTCAAATCAAGATTGGATGATTATTCAATGAAATAGTTATACCATGTAATTGTTGAAACGCAATGTTACCGACTAGTAATAAAAAAAATTAATGTAACAAGTGGTTGTTGGTGGTTATAAATAAAATATAGTTGGAATCCACTAGTTTGACATGTTATATATAATTGATCGGTGACAACACGTGACAGTAATAGCATGATATAATCATTGCATTGAATATTTCTCGCCTAATCTCAAGAAATAGTTTAAGTGGTAAAAAAGATAAATTCTAAATTTAAATTTTCTGAATTTGAATCTTGACAATCTTTTAGAACTAGATTATTAGAGATTTAGTTCTTATAAATACCCTAATTCTGGCGTGGACGACTTACTTTTGACTGAACTAATGAAGGAATTAATCGAAATATGTATAAACTGACTCAGATATTCCTGACAGTTAAATTAAAAAAAAAAAATCCCCCTTAAGATAGCTCATGCACCAGAATCAGTGGATATTCTCGAAAATTGATTTAGATGAGCCCAAACAAAGATCATAGCAACTCAATCTTAATATCTTTGGCCAAAATAGGTGAAGATAATTGATTAAGTGTCGATAAAACATCTTAAAACAGAGAAGCAATTAGTGGGAATAACATAAAAAATAACAAAAAATTCTTGTTAATACAGTTGAATGGCAATTTTTTTTTTTTTGAGAACTGTATTGAGTTGTAATTGGGCCGCCTTAAAATGGTACTACGTGGCGTGTAATGCTTTGTCATCGAATCAAAATGCCAAAAGAATGTTTTGACTAGTTGAGCATGTTCAATGGTGTGCCATTTGGCTCACAGGAAAAAACTTTGCACAAATGGTACAACATTAATCACTATTCTCACTAAATTCTTTACCAAATTTTGTTTGTCAAATCAATATAGACTATTGAATTAATAGACTTCATTATATTTTTTCAATAAAACTTATACTTGATTTAGCTGTCATCATTTAGTTAGCAAAATTCGGTGCCCATCACTACTCCAATGGCATGACTAGAACGGGATACGTGTCTTACCATGTTTTGATAATATAAAGAGTAATGCTATTAAAACCTGATTTATTGATATAATTTGTTGACGTAATTCGTTCTAATCTTTGAATTGACTGTAGGCACCATCAAAAATTAAAATTTGGTGTTGATCCATTGATTCTTATGAAACCACATCATTATATTAGTAAATTAAATTAAAATTTTAAATCCAAATAACACTACTCTAATATAAAATCTATCTTGTCATGCCATATTTGATTATTGACTTCTTTATAGTCACGATATTGTCCACATGAAAATCCCACTTCATAGATTTCATTTTATTTTTCTAAGACTTTGGGTTAAACCAATGAGTAAATATCTTTATAATACCAAATATCGCATTACTCAATCTCTCTGCTTATCTTGTTTGTTTTATGAGCCTCACTNCTCTCTGCTTATCTTGTTTGTTTTATGAGCCTCACTAGTTGGAGTATTAATTCAGTTAAATTTTACGAATTTGAATCTGAATCTGTTCGGCTTATTTTTTTAAATGTGTCTAAAAATTTATTCAATTTTGTTCGAGTCCAGCTCGAATTCAAGTCGAACTCAAATAACTCAATTATTTTACATATAAATGAGACCGAGCCTAAAAAAAATTAATTCACTTAGAGTACAAATTGAATCCTATCCAAATTAAATTCGAGTCCAACCTAAATAGCAGGTGTCAATTATCACCGTACTCAATAGTTTACACAATTAATAGGAGAAGGTGAATAATCCAAAATTTTCTAAACAAAGAAAAACAAATTCCAAAATCATATGGATTGGCAAAATCCATTTGAATTTCTCGTGAAGGAGGACGAGAATTTGAGACAACAAAACCGGTGGAAAAAGTGAGTGAAGAGGAATCGGGGCGGTCGTGCCATTGGAATCTCTCTCTCTCTCTCCACTCCATTTTGTGGGTGGGAAAGTGGAAGAGGGAAAGAATGTGTAGGGAGGAGAGAGGGTATGTCATTGGTGATTGGCTAAGCTTGTAATGGAGTACTACCCACAATGACGACAATCTCTTGCTTCATCCCAAACACACGAACTGTGAAGGAAACCCCATATAATTAGAGAGAGAAGGATGAAAAATAGCTTGCTTTTGCTACAGAAATCCTATGCCATTCTGGTAAGCTTTCTATTCCTTTATCTAGCCAATGTCTCATTCATTCATTCATTTTTCTTCTCATGTTATGCACTTAATTACTTCATTTGATCTGACCTCAAGATTATCTCCGCTTTCTTGATCGGGGTTTCTTTTTTAATTCCTTTTTTCTTCCTAATCTTCTCAATTTCCATTTTCATCTCAAGTGCCTAGGTTTCTTCTACATTATTCTCTCTCTCTCTCGTTTATGCTCTTAAAATTGTATTATTTTATCTGGGGTTGCTTCGTTTTCTCTCCTTTAGGTTTCCAAGCTTTCTAGTTTGAAGGCATTTCTGTTATCCTTTTCTATTTGAGAAAAAGGTACTTTACTTTTTTGTGTATGTGTCAATGTTTTGGGTCACGTTTGTTTAAATTTTTAATGCAGCATTTCTTTTCTTTTCTTTTCTGTTCTTTTCTTGTTTATCGTTGATTTTGATGCAGCTTAACTATTGGTTTTTACAGCTACCCATAACTCCTTTATGAATGCACCATCTATTCTTTTTTCCAATAATTATGCTGTTCTAATAAATGGTTGTCATTGTTCTGCCTGAATTAGTTAGTTTTCAACTATGCAATCTATTCTTGCTCTTTAATGACCAAAAAAAAATCTATTCTTGCTCTTTCACTAGTAAATGACAGCTTATTCTCTTTGGGTATTCATTTTCTCTATTTAGACGTTTTCCTTTCTAGTCATTTTTAAGTCATTTCATGCTCAAATTTTCATTTCTGTTGCAGATTTATCACTGTTTTTCACGTTGAAAGAGGTTGCCCCTCTGCTTTCTTGTTGCCTCTTTAGTGTAGTTTGCTGTTTTATTATGTACGTTGTGTTTTGCGTAGTAATAAAGGGTGACTTGATTTGGGTTTGATTTTCCAAATTGCAGCAGGGCTTGTTTTGGCTTGGCTTGGATTGGATTGTAGGTCCTTCTTTTCCATTTTTTTCTGAAAACAATTTATTGTGTAAGTTGAAAGATGGGGGATCATTTTGTATTGATGGTGGATCGGTTGCTCACTGAATCCACCCTTGAAGCTGCTATCGAGGGCAAAAACCAGTTGCAGCACACTACACCCTCAAGTAGTGAAGATATGATTAATTTGTCTTCCCGTAAGATGGATGGTGAGGTTGGATTGTTGCCGAATTTGGTAGAGTGTAGGATTTGCCACGAAGAGGATGAAGAGTCAAACATGGAGACACCCTGTTCATGCTGTGGCAGCCTGAAGGTCAGTTGTTCAACCTTAACTCATTAGTGCCAAATTATTGGTTGAATTTGCAAATTGTGCTAGTCTTTTATCATGTATTTAAGGCTTCAAGGAAACGGATGAAAATAGCATGTCAGTCAGTAACTAATGCAGAATTTGCTAATATTTGTGAAAGGATGGAATCATTCAAGATGTGCCATTAATTTTATCTACTTTTGTCTCAAACTTCCACAATCATATTAGTGTGATATTGGTTCTAGAATTTAATTTAAATTCAAAAATTCTGTTTCTGTGCTTTTAAGTGATGTAAATGCACATTTGTTATTANTGCCATTAATTTTATCTACTTTTGTCTCAAACTTCCACAATCATATTAGTGTGATATTGGTTCTAGAATTTAATTTAAATTCAAAAATTCTGTTTCTGTGCTTTTAAGTGATGTAAATGCACATTTGTTATTACTTATATATAAACAGAAATATATTCACAATATTAATGATGTTATGACTGGATATCCAGGTGGGTTTTTCCGTATATTCAGGTAATCTAAGCTGCATACTGGTGTTGTTAGGATGGGTTAATTGTTAGGGTGTTAAGCCTTTGGTGAGATACTTGCATTTGCATCTCTTTCCTATTAGAAGACNATTGTTAGGGTGTTAAGCCTTTGGTGAGATACTTGCATTTGCATCTCTTTCCTATTAGAAGACTGAGTATCTTGGTATTTGAAAGCTGGACCCATGTTGGTCACATTTTCTGACCATGAAAAGCTTCATTAAAATCTATGCAGTCCTGTGTCAATCTTGTAAGGATATTGACCATGCAGTCCTGTGTCAATTTTGTATCTAGAAAAACCTCATTAAGAGTGTCAAGAATGTGCTGAGCCATGGACAATAGTATGTTTGGATAATATATTTTGGGCATAACCAGAGTTAAGTTCGAGTTTAGGCACCAAGTTTCTCTGAGACGGGACTGTTATGTTTTCATTCCTTGTTTACTGACGTAATAAATTAGTTCATGGCTTAGATACACTTCAACATTTACATCCAAAAAAATGGAAATAAATTACACTTGGTCTGTCAAAACTGGATACCATTTTATTGGTTTCTTGCATGACTTACGTGTATGTATTTTGGATAGGTGCATTGGAAAGCAATCTTTAAGAGGAAGAATCTAACATGGTTTCCATTGTTAGTGATGAGTGTGTTTGGCCGATTCTTTATCTCTCTGATTGAATGATGAGTTGTAACTGAAATTATTTTTCATCTCCACTTATCCCCTCCCAACTACCAAAAAAAGTTTAGGGTGGATATGGATAGTATTGCCCCAAATGACATGAATCATTGGTTCTTCTTTATAGTTGCTCTTTACGCCAACTATTGAATGTAGGACTGCATATGATATTTAATAGGTAGGCGCAATCGTAATCGATTTTCCTACTCTCTAGGGTATGGCTACTTGTGGTTGGAAAGAGCTGTTCTTGTATTTGATCTCACATGGAGAGGATGGAGATGGCTATTCCTAGTGGATCTAAACACAATTCTTATTTATATTCAAGCACTCATCAAGCCAACTACCCTCTACAGCAAACAAACTGGGTGTTATGTTCACTATGACATGGCTAATAGGAAGTATGAATAAGGTCGGTCATAGTTCAGATACTCTTCGAAGATATTTTCTTGAAAAAAATTTGTGCTAGTTGGAGATGACTACTCCTAGTGGACTTGAATACAATTGTTGTTTATATTCAAGCAAACATCAATCGAACTATCCTCTAGCAAACAAACTGGGTGATATGTTCACTATAACATGGCTAGTGTGAAGGAATAGTGAGGTCGGGCACATTCGGTCATAGTTCAGGGTACCTTCCTTGGAGTATATTTGCTTGAAGAAAAATTTGCAGTATGGTGGGAGTAGTCACTAGATGTATACGTTTGGTTAATTTAATTGCACCACTACATTCATCATTTTATGCTCAGAAAGGACTTAGGGTGATTCATTGATATATTTCTTTTCCTTCCCTTAGTTCCCTATTTTTCTAGATTTTCCAGGTCTGCAAGAGATTTCAGATGGCCCAGTGTGATTGCTAGTGTCTTACTATTCTCTATGTTTTTGCAGTACGCACACCGCAGATGTGTCCAAAGGTGGTGTAATGAGAAGGGCAACACTATTTGTGAGATTTGCCACCAGGTCTGATTTTGATTTCTCAAGCTCTTTTCTTTTTTTCAATGTGTTGCTTATTTTGTAATCAACACTCTTTCCCGAGTTCTTCTGTCCATTTGATGGGATTCTAATTGTGTCTTTGTATCCCAAAGTTTATTTGGTCCTATCTTATCAATACTGAAAGGCGGTTCTTAGTTTTGTTTCTTTGTTTCAATGTGAGTTTGCAGCAATTCAAGCCAGATTATACTGCACCACCCCCTCTGTGTCATTATGGTGGCATTCCAATGAACTTCAGGTGTCTTATTTTATCTCTCTATATGAATAGTCTTACTGATGTTTTTTTAATTGTTATCAAATTGGTTCTCAAAGTTCTTCCCAATACACACTGGTAAATATCAGTGATATGCTGATATGGGGTTTATCTCAGGGGGAATTGGGAGATTTCAAGAAGGGACCTGCGAAATCCTCAATTTACAACAATGGTTTCTACTGATCACAATTTTTTGGATCCTGACTTTGATGTGTATTCAGCTCCAACGTCAAGAAGCTTGATATGTTGCCGTGTTGTTTCCATAATAGTACTCTCTCTCTCTCTCACATTGCATTTGTTTAAGGAATTTGTGTAGTGCTGATTGCAAAATGGTAATAAATAATATGCTGAGAATGAGATGGCTAGATATTGGACCTTATTGAGCCCTTCTCCTCTGCTGCTATGTGAAGATTTTATAGTTCTGATAAAGTTTCCAATGCAGGCAACCTTATCTGCCATTAGGAGAGAATCATTGCAGTTTTCTAGTTGTCTAGGTTTGAGCCTCTTTTGGACGTGCAATGTCCATTCAGGCGCTTCAAGTGGCAGGAAGCATCAAGTCTATTGTAGCATTAAGACTCTTTCAAACAAGCATACCTGTCACCTGCCCCCTACCCCCTTGAGCGTCTCCCCCGGTGCAGAAATTGTGACATCACTGCACATGAAAGAACTTCTTATTGGCATTCCCATTGTCAACTGCATAGATGATGGTAGGATGCTCTCTAAGAAGGGGAAAACCACATGTTCAAATTTGAAAGCCCAAGAGAGAGTTTGTTTTTTCCGTTGATTGCCCTAAGAGAGGGTTTCTCTTAATCCTGTGGCTCAGTTTTAAATATTTGGCTGAGGGATAGCAGGAAGCATAATATATAGTGATAAAGGATACATAAAACAAAGAGAACAGATCTGTCTGACCTGAGACCAGTAAGTAAAATCCTAACTAGCTCCCCAGGACTGCATAATATGATTATTTGTTAACGGCCTGCCTGTAATTCCTCGACCCTAGTTTGAAACAAAAGCAATTCCATCAACTCTTTGTTAATGGACTTTTCAGAATAATTACCTGGATCCTTTTACTCTTGGCTGCGAAAAAAAATCATCTCATTCTTGCAACCAGATTATTTATTTATTTTTGTGTATTTGCAGTTTTTGGTTCTTCTTGTGTTACGCCATACTCTACCAATCATTATTAGTGGAGCCGGAGAATACTCTGTTACATTCTTAACGGTGAGGATTTGTGGCACACTTCTCAATTTAACTCAATAAAGTCGTTATGGATTGCGGCATGAATCTTGTTTCTCTATTATGCTATATCGACGGTCATAGTCTCTATTGAAGCACACTTAATTCCTCGAACGAATGATCATGCTCTGCCAACATGATCTTTAAAAAGCACAAATATATTTGCTTTTGCAGTTACTGATGTTGCGAACAATTGGTATTCTTTTGCCTATCTATGTCATGGTTAGAGCATTTACTGCTATCCAACGTCGCCGACACCAACAGGTCAGTTAAGTATCAGCCTTTCTTAATTTCTCTTGTAGCAAATGAGGTAATTTTCTTTTGTTTGTGGCACTCACTTCCACCACTTGCATGAAGTACTGTGTCCCTGCCTCGAATAAGTTTTAAGATGTCCCAGTTGTACTCCTAAATTTGTTATTTCTTTGAGAAACAAAATTTCACATTTCTTTTCCCAAAAAGTCACGCTATAGGAATGCTGACCTTATTGACTTTTTTCTTGCATAGTCGCTGATGGACCACAAAGTGCTTGATAGTTGATTTACTCAAAATTCCATCAACTAAAACCTGCATCAAATAGAAATGATGGTTGACTCGAAGCTTGCATTCCTAATATCTATGGTTTCTATAGCAAAGCCTTGAATTCTTTTTGATGATATTAAATAGAAGATCTTTTTAACAGTTAAGAAAGAGGTTGCTTTGAAATTATATCGGTCTCTGACAGAAATTAGAGCATTTGTGGCCCAAAATTACTAATGAAATATTATTATATGCTGGGATTACTTAGAAAAAAATTACTTCTTGGTTGTATTTTCGATATATAAAGAAGAGTGAGGGGGGCATTGCTATATTCTCTGCACTTGAAGATTCTTTTGGTTAAAATTAGTTATTCTATTCAGTGATTAAGCTAGTTAGTTGGGTACATGTATTCAGAAACATGAGGAAGATCGATGTTCAACAGCTAGTAAATTAATAGTAATAGGAAATATTGTCTAAATTGCATTATTTCATCAGTAGTGAATATCTGGGGAGGCAAATACAGCTTTTCCTCTCAGGGAGCAATATTAAGGAGCATTGGCCAGGGAAGATTGTAACTTTCTGGTATTAGTTGTGGAAACTGCTTCTCTTGCATAAAAGCAGGCAGTATTTTCAATTGTTACTCCAATTTCAAAAACAATATTCAACTAAACAGCCTTTTTAAAACTTCACTGGCCATTTATAAGTGATTTTATATTTCTAGATGCCATGAAAAGATCAGCTAATTTTGCCGAATTTCTTTTAATATCGTACTTTATTGCATTTCATTTTTCTATGTGCTAGGAACCTCGTAACTTCTCCCTTTCCACGTCAGACGAAGAAAATGAGCAGCCGCAATGGCAGCCTCAGCCACATCTCATCCGTGTTCAATAACTGCTGCAACTGCTACTCAGTCGAACGAAATTATAGTATGATTCTAAGTTCTGAGCATGCCAGAGGAGAAGGCAGCAAATCATTGGCTGCAAATTATAATGTGCAACTTCAGAGGTGATCATTTGCTCTATAAGCTAAAGTGCAACTTTCTACTTCATGTTGCTGCATCATCCTTGGAATTCTTGCTCCAGTGCAACGCATCTTTATTAGTCACGAGAAATATATAGCTGGAGGAGTAGCTTATTGTATATAATGTTACTGCCTTCAGAAAATCAGAATACAAGAGGCGTAGGGAAAATGGAGAGGCAGTTCAATACGAGCCAAATGAAAGGAAGAGAATAGCCACTAGTAGCAAAGACAAAATGTGTGAGTGGTTGTAAGGCAAAAACTAACAAGGACTAGCAGCAGTGCAATCCCTCTTCCTGTTCACTTCTCCCCATCTCTTCTAATATGTGTGTGTTTGGGTTACAAAATCTATTCAGTTACCAGCAAAAAAACATCAATGCACTTGATTTGATTCAGTCTTTACCAAAAAAATTCAAGAAAAGGATTGTGAGGTGACCCACCACTGCAGGGAGAGTTTAGAGGCTTAGCCGCATATCATTAGTCTGTCTGCTGTGTGCCACAATTTTACGCCTTGGTTTACCATTACCATTTATAGATCCTAAATTCTTGCTACTGAATTATAAATGCATAAGGTTTGTCCGTCTACGAAGGGGAGTCAGGGCTTAAAGTTCAGGCCGAAAGGCGTAATTGCTTAACATGTGAATATTTCTATACTATCCCTTATTCGCCTATAATATCCCTTGTTGGTCCCAAGGGGCGAAGGAGGGGCAGGTAAGCCCAAAGATAATGACTATCATTTTACCTGAAAAATGTCTATCGATTCAAACATAACTATCATGTTTGACTTGAGTGTTGGGCTATGCAGTTCTAAGTAATTGAGAGAGGTTATATGACTAATTTTGCCTAGGTAAGTAGTTTCAACGAAAAATATGAATTACAGGAGAACTTCTGGCTCATATGAATGAAATGGGTTATCTGGCAAGGTTTAACATTAGTGGGGTTTCACTAATAGGATTTAACCTTATCATCAATGACCAGGGCATAATAGAGCAATACTTCTCTTCAGGTCCAGCTTTCATTAAAGGGCTTCCCTGATAAAAAAGAAATAAAGTTACTATAATACGAACAGAAAATGTTTCAGAATTAGGTCTAAAATCCTGACACAAAGTAACGAGGTAGCAGCTTAATATCAAAAGGCACATTCAACATATAAACTAGCAACAACAAACTGCACATATCCTCATGTCCATAACAGATGGCTAACCCAACCAGACCAAACAACTGAGGGGTAACACATAAAGGACACAACAAGAGTAGGCGTTCTGTGAGGCAAGGCAGCCTCTCTAGACACAGCTACTTGTTTAGGCAAATTAATATTGAAAAGCAAAATCAAACTGAATAGTAGTACGCAAACAGACCACACGTCAAGACACCTGCAAGCAAAGACAGCAACTCAAGCAAGACCAAATGTATCATTCCTCATCAGATTCTGACTCGGCACTCTGAAGCCAATCAATGAAAGGTTTAACATTCTTCCAGATTGGAGAGCGCTTGTTGCCACCTGCCAGTCCCTCTTTATACCACTGCACTATGGACTCTTCCTCTAAGACATCAGCATCATAAAGTGCTTTCAACACAAGACCCACCTCCTTCAGTGCATAAGACTTCGACTTTGAACAGAATTCCTCGATGGCTCGAAGCAAAAGCAACTGTGAGCCCTCATCCTGAGCAACAGCAGCAGCAAGATAGCTTTTCTTCTTGGCAACCTCCTTTGCAAAGCTTTTCTCAATGCCCGCAAAGAGGGCCTCATAAAAAGCAGTCATCACTTCCTGATCAGATCCAGAAAGAGATCCCAATACAGACTGAATCTGGTTAGCAGCAACTCCCTTTCTCAGATTTGCTTTCATCTCCTTAACAAGTCTCCCATGGGTCGCATTCCCATTCTCAGCCTTGGAATTCTCCTCTGGCAGTGGAGAAACACTTTTTGGGCTCCCATTAGCTTTTTCAGCTACCATTGACTTTTGATCTGACTCAGTCGTGGAGAGAATGACCATGTCAGCTGTCACGGTATTTAATTGCTCTTGGATGCGTTGGCGAGCTGCTTCCATTGACGTGTCAGTTTGCCACTGAATGTCATCACCTTCATCCTCATCCTCATCTTCCTTCTCATCGGCCAAGCTTCTAGTCGGTGAAGTGCGATCCTCATCTGAGCCATTAGCTTTCTTTTTGGTAGAGCTGGCTTTGGTGTGCCCATCCTTGGAAGCAGAAGAACCCTTCTTCTTTGTCTCTTTCTTCACCTTCTTCAGCTCCTCATCAGCAGCTTCTCCTTCCTTCAGTCGTTCCTTCTCAGCCCTCCTCATTGCCTTCTTGTCTTTTGATCCCTTCTTGGTTTCAGGTGGGTTCTTGGTAATGAAACTTGTGAGCTTGTCCCTCATATCCACATCCGAGACAAAGCCACAAGCAGCACATTTCAGTTGGACCATCTGATTTTTCGTAATCAAGATCTCAGTTTCAGGGTTGTGACAGCCATAACACTGGACATACTTCTTAATGAAGTTCTCAAGCAGACCAGCAAGTTTCAGTGTATCATGAGCCCCATTGACAAGAGAAGTTCCAGTTTTCTCGTCAAATTTGGATTGGGCTCCAAGCTCACAGCCAAAATATTTTGTGGTATATGAAGCTGGCCTTGCCAAAGCCTTTGCAATATCAACCATGTTTACAACATTTGTCTTGATTCCATTTCCACGACCCTCTATTTTGGTAATCATCTTGGGCATCTTATACCTGTAGAAGGCATCATCGCTATTGCTGGCACCAATGTTCTGTAAAGCCATCTTAGCTATATTTTGAAATCTCAAACGAAAATGTTGAATGTCACAGGTAGGAAATGATGGATTTCAATATGTAGTCTTCCTTGAGGGAATCTTGAGCACAAAAAGAGTGATTATCTATCTGGAGGGAAGGTTGCACCCAGCTGCAACCACGAAACTTAGGGTATTCCTCAATTGACACAAGATGCATAAAGTCAATACTTCCTGATAAGGGTGGGGCCTTTCTTCTGGATGTAGGACAATACTCTCCAAGCAACCCAATCGCTCCCAAAAAGGGAATGACCTGTTCGGACATAAAAGAAGCTTCGAAGCTGACACGCTTCAACAAAAAAGGCTGCAGAGAGCAGACGAACCTGCAAACTTCATTTATCAACAGGGATAAGAGTCAGTCAAAATGTAAAGGGTCGACTGCTCATGTTCCAAGCATGTCATACTTTTTTTTTTTTTTGGGTAAGTAGAATGTCATATTTGTTATAAATGTAACACCTTACAAAAGAGAAAAACTTGCAATATGACTATTCCCAAACCTAGTTGTACAGCCAACTATATAAGGGCCATTTTAAGGAAGCCTTTCTATAGAAAGAACCACACTTCTTCAACTTCTTCCTGTTAAGGGTCATTTAATGCATAAAAGTAGTGTAAAGTCCATTAAAATAAAACCAACACCAGACACACTCAGTTTATTCCAAAATATAGGTCAAGGAAATAATTGCTTCACTAAATTATCAATTACAAAAAGAATTAACAACAACAAGGTGCAATGTGACATATTAACACAATAGCAATAATCTCGTGCTTCAAGACACTTTTTAATACCAAAAATTGAATATTAGTCGTGGAACATTTATATTTTAAATTACTATTTATTTTTTCTTTTCTTTAATTATGTTATTTAAAACTAAAACAAAATGAGAGAATATAAGAGATAAAGAAGAGAGAGAGGTAAGCATAGATTAGTGATGTTGATTGAGTTGTCTAACATTAGAGGTCATAGAGAAGATGTTTTTGAGCGGAATATTGGATCAAAGTATATGAAAATTGAATCAATCTTGACTGTTAATATGTTTTTATACATTGCGAATTCAACTTTCTAGCTGAAATATTTGATCCATGCCACTCATAGGCTGACATGGTAAGTAAATTTTAAAGGAATAGAAGTGGGACAAAAATCATCATTATTGCAATGCATGTCATTTGGTCCCAGATCTCATTTTTTAGCAAGTGCAGCACTACTCTTCAAAAAATGGTTTAAATACAAAGCCCCAAAATCAAGCACAATAGATGAATGCATACACATGCAGCATAGACTATTCTATTGCATCATCGAATCCAGCAAAACAGAACTTATAGACATGTTCAGTATCTGTCTCCAGAGGCGTGCACACATGCAAAACAATGTGAATAAAGAACTGAATATAGGAATCAAATAAGTTAGAAAGCAACGAAATCAGGATTACCCATTATTTAGAGTCAACCAGAGCTGAAATCAATTATGTCTAGTCCAATAATCAACTGTTGTTATAGAAATACCTATTTTCAGCAACCACATAAACACTCCAAACACAAAGCTCACGCTACAATAATTTCAAAGTTATCCCCAACTTCTAATATATTCATTCACAAGCGCGCATACTATATTCAATAATCAGCTTCCTCAGACCAAGAACATAAATTCCAACAACATAATTATCTAATTTTATTCATTAATTTCTGAATGTCAAACAATATAGCTGAGATCTACATGTAAAATCAATGAACTCACAATCAGAACATATACGTAGAGAAACGATAACATTATATATATGGGCAAACACAATTACACATGCGAAATATTGAAATTATTATCGGAAGATGACGGTGAGGTCTTACCTATCGACCAATCCCTGGCCTTCGTGAAGGTTCGATGTAGAGAGAGAGAGAGAGAGAGAGAGAGAGAGAGAGAGAGAGAGAGAGAGAGAGAGAGAGGCGTTTTAGGGTTTTGCAGTTGTGGACAGCGATGAGACGAGTGACGAGAGGCGGCCAAGCGATAGTTTTTATAGGGTTGGAATCAATCGAGAAATCCCCGGAAGATTCTGTATGCTATGCTATATATAATACCGCACCTGCAAAATATGAGGAGTAAATTACATTTTACCCCTTGAACTATTACATTTATTTTATTTTATACCTTTAATTATAAAATTTCTCATATTATACCCTAAAGTATCAATTTTTTTAATATCACTCTAATAGATAACGAAAAACTTGAAAATATGTCAAATGAGGGAGGCCAACCCTAAAGGGTTTTTCGCCAAGTGTTTAGTACCATTTTATTTTACTTCTTTTGTAACCAAATAGTTGATTGGAAGAAAAAAAAAAAGTTGGGCAGAGAAAGAAAATTTGAAATTTAAGAAAGACAAAATCATGAATGAATATTTTTCTTGATTTTTGACTTGCACATGTGCAAAAGACAGTTGCTTATTGGCAATAAATATTATTCGCATGCGTATTTATCGTTAAAAAATTGACAATCGTTATCTATTTGAATAATGTAAAATAAAATTGATATGTTATTGTGAAATGTAAGAAATTTTGTAATCGAAGAAGTAAAGTAAAATAAAAGTAATAGTTCAAAGAGGTGAAATTTAATTTACCCAAATATGAGTGGTACCATCAATCGAGAATCTTCAATTTTACTGGCNACCATTTTATTTTACTTCTTTTGTAACCAAATAGTTGATTGGAAGAAAAAAAAAAAAGTTGGGCAGAGAAAGAAAATTTGAAATTTAAGAAGGACAAAATCATGAATGAATATTTTTCTTGATTTTTGACTTGCACATGTGCAAAAAACAGTTGCTTATTGGCAATAAATATTATTCGCATGCGTATTTATCGTTAAAAAATTGACAATCGTTATCTATTTGAATAATATAAAATAAAATTGATATGTTATTGTGCAATGTAAGAAATTTTGTAGTCGAAGAAGTAAAGTAAAATAAAAGTAATAGTTCAAAGAGGTGAAATATAATTTACCCAAATATGAGTNGTCGAAGAAGTAAAGTAAAATAAAAGTAATAGTTCAAAGAGGTGAAATATAATTTACCCAAATATGAGTGGTACCATCAATCGAGAATCTTCAATTTTACTGGCTATGCAAGTGTCACGTATAATATAAATAAAGGGTGTGTTTGTTTGGGAGATATCTGGGGGAGGTGGGATGGTCTTTATTAATATACGAGTCCTACATAGACTTTGCTTGATAACCATTTTTAGTGAAGCCTGTATGAACAGGGACGCTAAAACCATCTACATGGGCATACATAATACCTTCTAGGAGGTGATATTAAAATGAGGTAGAAAACTAACAATGGTATTAGATTAATAAATTATGGTATTGACCTTTCTAATGTCTAATGTTCAAGACAAGGACATTAAAGTCAATTTATATAAAATAAAATCTTTGTTTTTGTTGTGGGGATCACAAGAAAAATAAATTACAATATTGGTTTTCAAGTGTCTAATAATCTAAAATAAACAGAGGTTATTTAAATTAATTATTAAATACAATCATTCCTTTAACGTGAGACCCACATGCAGTACAAAAGTCAAAAGTCAAATATGGTATAAGATTAAAAAAGACATTAAATTATGTTTTCTATCCTACGGCGTCGGAGAGGATGGAAAATAAAATTCTAATCTCATTCATCATTCTCGTTAAAACAAACATATCCTAAAGAGTTATGTGTTGGTTTGAAAACCATAAGGAGGTAATATGTAAATGGAGTAAACCATGAGGAGATAATTCATAATTTGCCCTAATTTCCAAAGTTTAAATGTTTGCTAATTAACATATATGTGTGATTCTCTTGAACAGTTACCATACTTGTTCAATGGCTTCCTAAACCGTCATTAATTGGTATATTAATAAACTATGAATCAATTATTTCAAGGTATTTCAATTATCCAGCAATCTCTCTCAAAAAAGGCTTGAAACACTTTCTATTATTTTCGTTTTTGTTTCCTATAATTTATTTTCTGTAGAAACAGAATTCTAGTATCTTAGCAGATTAATAAAATTCAAATGTATTTCGGGTTTGACTACATGTGTGTCTAACGAAGTTAGACAATAGATTGATTCTGGGTTTCATTGTATATTGGAGGTGAATTTGTTGTGACCTTGGTGCACACTGATTTTCAGAAGCATTTTACTATCTACTTCTTCCATTATAGAAACTACTACTCCTATAGGAAAAGAAAAAAAAAAGTACATAGTTTTACAAAATTCCAATAATTTTTCTTGAAAACTAATAGGAAGACAAAAGAACTAAGCCTCAAAACAAAATCATTCAAACACATGCATTTTTCGTATATTTAGGTCATAAAGAGGACACTGATTTTAATTTCTACCTAAGAACTTCTCAAAACCATCCAATGTTTACCAAAGGCTGTTTGGTTTGCCAGGTAGGTTAGCATGGGATTGTTGTGCCACCGGACTAGAAATATTTTATTTCTAACCAATCCAATGTTTAGTAATTAACATATATGAATGGTATGGGCCACACATATAAACTCATACGATATATGCACTTGTAGACTTATTTTATGCATTAGTTTACCATCATGTGTGTTTGGATGACAGGATTGTACTAGATTGAAGATCTAAAAAAATATTATTTCTTATCCAACCTAGACCCCCGTATCATTGGATTGATTATGATTTAATGATTATATCCAATCATTTCTAATGTTCGGATAAAGCATAAGTACTCCTGTGGGACCCATGAAAAAGGGTGATAGAATATAGTACCATTGAATATTTTGTCCCTAACCTATACATCCAAAACCATATTTGGTTTATAAATTAGTCTTTGATTAATTTCAAACAAATTTTTCTTACATGTAATTTTTAAAAATGTTGTAATTTCATATCCTCTAACGAGTGTTTTTTTTTTTTTAATTGGAACATACTTGTACTTTCAATTAAGTAGGAAAATCTTGATTATAATATGTTACGAGGACTATTGAGAATTAACTCAAACTCATATTAATTAGTTATTTTACTAATAGCTATTAATTAATCTTAGTCAAAATAAGATATTGCTTTATTTGAGTTAATTTATTGTTTAAATTAGTTGTTTTATTGGAGAAGACTTCTTGGTCTTCTTGATATATGTTGACAGAGCTTTACTTTGAAAAAATAAATTTATTGAAGAAAAAACAAATATGTGAAAAAACAGGAAGAGGAGACGAAGCAAGCGAGAGAAAGAGAGAGAAGGGGAAGGGGACAACACAATTCAATAATTTGTATTAGTTATCCTATCTAACAAAAAAAAATCCCATCCCCCTTGGGTTTATTTAACCCATATACATTTTTTTATCCTATCCTACCAGAGTTATCCCTTTTAAGCTACGATCCAAATGTACCCTAAGAGTAATATTATTGTGATCTAATCTTACCTAATTTACTGACCTAATGATGTGATTTTATTCGAACCATTGGATCAGTACTAAATTACATTATTTAATAGGATCCACAGTCAATTTAAAAGTCATAATGAATTAAGTCTGATGGTGTGAACTAGCGTGGATGAGTAGGAGGTATGAACTATTATTCCTGACTATTTAGATCTGAACCGCAAGGCTCATAAGAATTATGTTTAGAACAGTTAGGGATTAGGGAAGTCGACACAGTGAGAATATAATGGTTCACCAGCTTGGGAGCTTGGCTGGTCCACTCTTCAATAGAGGCTCTTGCTCCCTGGATCTATATTAGTTACCAGAATGAATCTCAGTTAGACCGTTGGGTACAATTAGAGTTTTTCCTATTTTTGGAGGTATTACACAATATTTATAGGACTGTTACTAGTTCTGCGGGATCTATACCGAGATCCTTGCCATTTATTCAAGGAATCCTCTTTGATCTTAGGAGTGGATCTTGGCTGGTGAGAGTTTTATGCCTTAATTGTAGCTTGGCCGTTGGTGTCTTCTATTATCCAGCTGGCCCTTCCTCATGCCTTCTTTTACTGACTTTGGGGAATCCTGAGGTCTGGGCCTCTGAGATCTGGAGGTCTCACCTGACCTCCTCCTCGCCTGACCTTTGTGCCTGAACTCATATTTGTAATTTATTTGGAGTATCATCAGTTGCCCCTCAGCTCTTGATTCAAGTAAGCTTGAACAAGGGCTAAACTTAAACTAGAGCGGAGTGGGCCCCCATTCAGTGAACTCGATGCACGTGCGGACAAATTTTTGACAGTTACCAGTAATCATTTCTCTCCTTGTTCCTCACACGTGTTGCCCACTTCGCATCCCTTTGCATCGTTAGCTTTAAATTCACCTGGATTAACGGTTACCTCCTCACTCTTCGAATTCTCTCTAGTCTTTCCCCTTTAACCTTTTGCGATTTCACCTCCTCCGATTTGTCATTGTTCTTAGGGTTTTAACAGAAAGAAATTTTTCCCTAATTTTGTCCTGAAGGCTTACCGAAGCTTACTTCTCCGTTCTTCACTTCGAGTGATAGGTACGTTTCCTGCCTTTTTCGTGCTTCTTCGTTCTGGATCTCTTAGATCTGAGGTGGTTGTTGCATTTTTGGACTTTTCGATTCTATTATTTTAGGAACCGAGGTTGATCTCTGTCTCGTATTCCCCTCTTTCTAGACCCTTATTCAACTGCTAGGGTCTTCCTTATTGCTAGTTGTTGTGTTGCCCCCCAGACTCTTAGAGAGTGTTCTGCAAATATTCCTCCTCTTTATCGTACCTTTAGACTCCATTTTTCTTGCCCAACTATGTCTACTTCTTTTGGAGCTACCCCCTCTTCTGTTTCCCTCATGGGAGACAGGCCTGCCAATGAAGATACTGACTTAGGTGATATGGGCAATGAGATTGATAACTTTCTTGGGGTCGATTCTACTGAGGCCAAGGTAGAGGCCGAGGAACCACCCTTATCTTCTTC